AAAGAACTCACAATATACTGCCAGAGGGAAATATTTTTAATTAAAATTTAAAAATAAGAGAAAAAACCTATACTTGTTTAAAAGAGCTTATGAAGTTTCTTCCAGACTTAGTTAGCTCTTAATTGAGACCCAAACATCCTAAACAGAGTTTTATTTATAGTTTTGAATTGTCAATTTGTATTTTGCTACTGATCTGTGGTCAATCATTTTAACTTTCATTCATCTCTATGAATATTTGGAAAGAATACATTTATATGCTTATATAATTATAAAATAAATCAACTATAAAAAAAGAAACTAAGAATTGGTATTTTAATTACTTGTGTGTTTGCAAATAGATTCCATTTTCCATGTTGAAGAAATTATAACCTTGTTAACTATGCATAGGCCTAAGAAAGGTGGCACATGAACTGTACATGTAAATTTATGGGTAAATTAAATGGATATTTTGTGCAATTCATTTAAAGAATATACTCTATGAATATGATTCTATATATTCAAGTCAAAACCTTACCAAACATGATAAAAAAAACATCAGAAGCTGCTGCCATAATGACTATTTTCTACTATAGGCTGCTTTGGAAATAATTCTCATATCCTTGCTTTGTAAGTTGATGATATCACTATGCATTTCTACACATTTTATAAATTTGATTTATGCAGATTTTGATACACTGTTTCTGTAGAAATTGTATAAATATTCAGAATTTTATTAGGATAAATTTGAGAAACTTATGTATATCTTAATTCTGGGTTGCTTGTTTTTTAGGTGAGAAAAAAAATAAAATGTTGTATTTTAATCTGTGGGTTTTTTTTTTTTTTTCAGTTCTTGTAATCATTTCTAAATCCAAACAGTACACACTGGAAAGAACGACCTGATTTTGTTTACAAAATGTACTTAATATTATAAACCATAGTTATTAACTGAGTATGTACTTAACTGTTGGTCAGAATCCTGCTACACATGGTTAGAATGCTCAGAGCTAATGGAGCTGAAGGAAACATAAGGCTTCCTTTTACAGAACTTCTGGTTGCCTATGTAGAGCAATTTTGATGATAACCTCTTCAACTATAAAAGATAACCGCAACATCTTTCTTGGCAATGTATTCTACGGTATAATTGCTTATTGAAAGAAAAAAAAGTCTTTAAATCAAAATTCTTCACAGAAACAAAGAAAAAGAAAAAGAAAGCCTAACAAAATGAAACTTAGAAATGGTCTTTAGGACCACGTGGTATAAAACATGACATCTCAAGAGAAGATATGGCTGTGAATAGATTCAAGTAAGTGGCTGTATTGATTTGAGAAATTTTCTCCCAACTGAATTATCTATTGTCATCCCTTTCCGTTCTTACTTGCCTAAGAGATAGTTAGGCTAAGAAATTTAATAAAATGACAAAGCACCAAACTAGAATAAATGGGGGGGGGGGCTCACTCATTTCTTTAGATTTTCTCACAGGGATCTTGGAATATATTTCATTTCAGTACAAGATGTAATTGAGACCGGCGCCGTGGCTCAATAGGCTAATCCTCCGCCTTGCGGCACTGGCACACTAGGTTCTAGACCCGGTCGGGGCGCCGGATTCTGTCCCGGTTGCTCTCTGCTCACAGCTCTCTGCTGTGGCCAGGGAGTGCAGTGGAGGATGGCCCAAGTACTTGGCCCTGTACCCACATGGGAGACCAGGAGAAGCACCTGGCTCCTGGCTTCGGATCAGCGCGATGCACCGGCCGCAGTGCGCCAGCCATGGCGGCCATTGGAGGGTGAACCAACGGCAAAGGAAGACCTTTCTCTCTGTCTCTCTCTCTCTCTCTCACTGTCCACTCTGCCTGTCAAATAAATAAATAAATAAAAAGATGTAATTGAATGAAATTCACACATAATAATTCAATGGAAAATATGATTGGTAACTAATCACAGCCAGGTACCTGGTAGGCCAGTAGTTCAGATTTTTGAAAATTATCCCATAGTAAAGCATTTTTAAAATATATTAGGTACCTTGAAAATGTTTATTATTCATTAGAATCAATCTGTTGGAAGGAAATGGACAAAAGTTATAGAGGGGACTGGCACTGTGACGTAGCAGGTAAAGCTGCCGCCTGTAGTGCGGGCATACCACATGGGTGTCGGTTCATATCCCAGCTGCTCAACTTCCAACTCAGCTCTCTACTATGGCCTGGGAAAGCAGTGGGAGATGGCCCAAGTCCTTGGGCCCATGCACCCACGTGGGAGACCCAGAAGAAGCTCCTATCTCCTGGCTTTGGTTCGGCGCAGCTCCGGCTGTTGCAGCCAATTGGGGAGTGAACCAGCGGATGGAAGACTTCCCTCTCTCTCTCTCTCTCTGCCTCTGCCCCTCTGTAACTCTGCCTTTCAAATCAATCAATAAATCTTTTTTCAAATAGAGAATGGTTTTGGGAGACCACTATCCCTGGAATTAAAGATTAAAGGAAGGACTTTCTCTAAATTAGATTCAGTAATTGCTTTGCAGTCTAATTTTTAAGATTTTGAAATGCCCATAATTGAGCCTTAGGACCTACATCTGAGCAGATGCGGGATGGAGGGATCCTGAATTTTCATAATAAAATACATGTTAAAATATGCTAATCTGAAAGAAGATAGGTATAGTATGATAGATTCTGAAGTCTGTTTTAATCTCTGTTCCCCTACAAATTACCTGCGTGACCTTAAATTATTTAATCTCTGTATATCAGCTTTTCATTTGTAAAATGGGAGAAATAGTGCCTATTTGATAGGGTTGTTATTAGGATAAGTTAGCATATTACTAGGTACTTAGCATATTTCCTGGTTACAATCAAAGTAATATAAATATTCATTAGTATATATGCTTTAAAGTGTTAAAATCTGTCCCTAATCAGAAGAATAAGACAGCTACACTGAAGACCTCTACAAAAGCTATGTGTTGTATATGCATATGTTTCAGATATTACCACTATTCTACAAGTGAACAAAGATGAAGCTCAGAAGTTAAACTGGAGGTTAAAGTTACGCTAAGGAGGAAAATTGTTCTCTCTTCCTCATGCCATTCACATAACTTGAGTAAAATATAGTTTTGGGTGATCTAATTCAATCCTTGGGTAGAAATAAGTGCATCCTGAAGAATGTCTAAGTATATCCTTTAAATTATCTTTAAATGAAATTTCACCTGGGCTTTTGAGCAAATTCCAGCAATATTAGGATTAAATGTTCAAAACAAACAAAACTAATACTTTCAGTAGAAAATGTCTGGGTATGACAGTCATTGGTACTGGATTTATACCACTATCCTCAAATATAAAACTGGACAAAATATATGGGGCAAATGTTTTCAAGAATTCATGGGTAACAGGCAAGGCAGACTCCTATTTTAAAGAAGGGGGCCGGCGCCGTGGCTCAATAGGCTAATCCTCCACCTGCGG